TATATATATATATATATATATATATATATATATATATATATAGTGTAAGTATTTTTGCAAGCTTTGTTCTTTTTTTTAATATTTGGGATTATACTTTTAAAATTTCCCATTGACTTGCATTCATAGAATCTTCAGCATTCCAAATGTATCCAACTGTGATGATGTGATTGCGATATCTATATGCACACTGATTGGTCTTCCTTGCATATATGTAACTCTTTATTGTTCCATGTGTTGTTTTCCATGTGCTGCTGGTCAGATCCTGGATGTGTCTGTGCTGCGTGACATGACAGCAATAAAGCGTCTCTGATGCGGCATTTCATTCACTCTGAATCAAAGACTAACACATACACATACACTTACCTTAAACAAGAACACGTTTGCTGCCTTCCAAATGCTGCTGTTTCCTTCAGGTAATGCTTATCAAGTTTCATTATGTTCGTCTGCTTGAATGATGAGCAGATTGTCCTGCTCCTTCTGGCTATGAACTATAAAGCTGTTGGTGAAAATGAGGAGCTGCCTCTCCTCTTTTTCTCTGTTTGTTTGTGTCTAGCACATTTATTGCTGTAACAGGTTTTTAGATGCTCTGTTTTGTCTGTAGTATAAAGGGCTTCAATAGCTTGGGGTTTTTGTTCTAGCTGGTGTTGTTTTTTTGTTTTCTTGGGTATCTATATGCAGGGGTGTGTGTGGTTTTGCTATGTTGCAATGCACCTGAGAAGCTGCTCTGTTAGCGTGAAAGCGCTGAGGAAGGAAGTGTTCATGCAGAAGAGGTCAGTGTAAAGGATGCCTTTTAAAAGCAGAAAAATTCCTCCACCAGCAGTTGGAAAAGTACACAAGATAAAAACGCTCTCGCATGTGACTCATCTTGAGACTGAGACTATTTCTGCGGTGTTGTCTGGTCCTTCATGAGTCGCCTCAGAGCTTCAGCACGGAAAGAAGGAAGGAAGAAAGAAAGACAATACAGCAAAGCGAAAACCCTTACGCTGCAGGTGGTTTCTTATCAAGATTTCACACTGTTGTGAGTGTGTTTGTTTAAAAGTGCTCTAGGGAAAAGAAAAGCAAGAGAAATATGCTTCTAGAGTAAAGTACAACAGGACTAAAGGCCTTCTGGTGTGAAAGATTTTTTGAGTTTTGCTATTTGCTTCCAAAACACTTAACAGAAACTAAAACCACTTTCCTAAACACCTACCTGTCTAAATATATCACATATATAGTGGCCATATCAGTAAAACAAATGCTTGCTAAAGGTCTAAAGGTTGATTTTGATGTTTGATTCATGTTGCTTTTGAGAATCCCTGATCATATATTTAATGATTTTCAGTTTTGTTCAAGTTGATAAAATCAGTAGTTTTTCAGGAACTGTTGCGTAATAAAAGTATATAGGGTAGAAAGGCGTGAAAAACACACTTTGGCCAAAAACTTACAGCAAAATAATACAAGAGATCTCATAAAATGAGAGGTTATAAAATGCCAGAATGAATTAAATAAACTGAAAAGTGGTTACACACTTGCTGAGGTGGTTGTTTTCACCTTTTGTACTTAAATGTTGCTGTTATTATTATATTTTTTCTATATTTAAACTATTTGCATATGATGCTGACATGTACTGCACCAGTATCTACAATATATATCACTATAATGTGTATTTAAGGCCTTTTGTCTGGAGCCAAACTACTTCTACTGTTTTATTTTAACTGCTTGAACAGTTGCAACCAGTTTTATTGAGTTTATTTGGTTTATGTAGAGATATATGCAGACAACTAGTCTCAGTGGTTGCATTAGTTTATCCTTTATCTCTTCAGTCTCTGAAACCGATTCTGTTGCACGGACAGCGTTTTTTCAGAGTTGCATGACTGATCTTTTTCTAGCACTTAGCATACTGTTCAGAGGGTTTTGTGGAGTAATGATGCCTGAGATTGTGTTCCTCAGGCACTGCAATCTTTACAAAAGAGACATAGACCAAGACAAGCTAGAAGAGCATTTGTGAGTGTCTATAAGGCTGATACTTCTGAAGTGTATGTAGAGGGTTTAGCTATTATCCCTTGTCTTTGTTAATACTGTGAATTGGCCCATAACCTTTTCAGCACATGTAAAACATCAATAAATCACTACTCACTCACACTGTTTTAACCTCCTGTGTAGTGGCTGGTGACCTTCTTATTTAGCTGAATTGAAATGATGATGATGCCAAACCAATTCCTGCTCAGGAAAAAGCACTGTTGTTCCCAATTACCCCACATCGCTGTCAGAGCCAAACCATACGCCGTATTTCCACTTATGTTATGTTTTTTTAAACTTGCAATTAAATGTACCACATCAATATATAAAAAAAAACAAAGAGGAAGAAAATATATTCCATTTTTTTTATACATCCACATCATGAAATACATTAAACATTACACGACACCATGGTTTCCATGACTGTAATTAATAGTTGATAAAAAGCTAATAATTAATTCAGTCATAAAAGTGTAAATACATAAAAACTGTTTTATATACTATCAAAATTAAACAGTTGAACAGTAAATATGGAACTGTTTGTTTACCTGCATGTCGATGTGACCGTTAACCAACATCAGAGAACTTGTTAAATTAGTGAAATATATTAACTTTCTTAGGTATATTTCAAGTGAATGCTGTACGTTTTTGTCAAAGGCAAAGACTGTAAAAAAGGCTTTGGCTGACAAAAATGTTTTGGAATCCCTGCATTACATGAACACGCATTAATAAACATGTTTTAATTAAACAAAAATGTAATCTAATTAGAAGCATTTTAAAATGTGATATACTCTATTTACAAGTATTTAATTTTTGTAATCTGATTACATAATCCAGATTACATGTAATCAGTTACTACACAGCTTTGTATATGTATATTTATATGTCCGAACCAAGGGAGAAACAAACGCTCCAGACCAGCCAGGTGTGAAAACGGCACAAAAACTCTCAGCTCCATTTTACTCATGTATAAATCAGTTCCACAGCATTTCCAAATCAGAGTCTGTTTTGGCTTCCACAGGGTCTTTACACTGAAGAATGCAGCACAGTAATTAATTTTTGAAAAATGTCCAGGGGTTCCTGTCTCTGTCTTTGTGTGTGTGTGTGTGTGTGTGTGTGTGTGTGTGTGTGTGTGTGTGTGTTGTAATTACTAATTAAGGCTGAATTGAGGGCTGCATGTCCTTGCTATGACCGGTTCTCTCTCAGTGGAACAAAACCAGAGTGATGAACACATCCAGTCCACATTTATGTCTGTGTTTTCTCATTATGTTGCTTAACAAAGCAGTTGTGTTTAAGCTGCTGCATCCTTCTGAGACCAGACATTTCTGAACCGTCACTCCTCCTAGAGCTTTCAGTATAGTCTGTCGGCCTCCGTCAGTGTCTGTCTGTCTGTCATCTCATGCTTTTAAGACAAAACTTTGCTTTTTCTATAGTTCCCTTACATCATTTTCCTTTTCTCTTACTCTTGAAGTCCATTCCTGTTCCTCTAGCAATCTGTCTCTTGTCCACTCTGTGTGTTTATTGATGGCTTCTTTCCTGCACTGTGTGTTTATTCATGCTCACTGCCGCTGCTGGATTCATGCATAAACACACAAACATGTTTCCAGGCCAGGAGCAGATGATTACTGTGTGACAGGAATGAAAATATTCCCTGCAAACCATCATATCTATCTATTTATCTATCTATCTATCTGTCTATCTGTCTGTCTGTCTGTCTGTCTTTGTATTGTTCTATCTATCTATCATTCTATCTGGCACTTGTTCCATCCATCATTATATCTGTCTGTATATCATTCTATAGTTTTCTGTTTGTATATGAATCTTCAATCACTTCAAACTTTTTTTCTTTTTCTTTTCAGGATTCAAATATTGTCTTGAACTTTTCATTTTCTAGTTAAACATTACACTTATATTATTTAGAATTTCATTTAATTTTGATTCTGCTTCATTACATTCAAAATTCACATGACATTTCTATATTCCATTTGCTACCTCAATTCAAATTCAGGAATCGATTTGGAATTTAAAAAGCAGCTGTAACTGAAAGTTGCAGAACGGTTTAGATATAGAGACGTCCTTAATGAAAAGCGTATGTAAGATGATCTCCGGATGTGTTTATCACATGTTCTACAGTTGGTTGACGTCTGCATTCATGTCATGACCACATTCTCCTGTGTTTTCTCTTTAGAGCAACTTCTTGGGAAGTAGCAGCTTCTCTGTGGCCGATCTCCTCCAGTCTAAGGACCAGCAGCTTTCTCTCAGCCTGAGGTGAGTTGCATTGTGGGCTGATGGGAGTTTTATCATTGTCTGCATCGCTGACTTCATTGAGGCTGCGCTGTGGTTTTTATGTGTAAACTTCATTTGCTGGGTTTCGTGCTCATGTGATGAGCTCTCTGGAGGTGGATGATGTCAGGCACACACAGCTGATCAAACAGGACTGAGACTCCAGCAGAAAACAGGCCATCTGCTCCTGTATTTGGCACATATTTAGTTGCCGCACAGCTCGATCTGATTGTCCAATGAATGCACAGCTTGAGTTTGCATTGTACGGTAGGGCAGGGTGGCATGACGATTTATAGCATGGTAGATTTATGTTATTTACACATTGAGGAATGTGGAATAAAGTGAAAATGCGGAGCAGGACGTGTTCCAAACTGGTAAAGACATGTAGAGTTTTGTTGTTTTGTTAGGTGTAGAGAACTGCTGTGTCTTAAATGTGGCTCATCCATTGAATTTAAAGTCAAAACTGTCTGTTTTATATGGAAGCTCGTTTCCGCCTAATTGTGACTTTTAATCTCACAATTCTGACTTTTTCTCAGAATATATAAAGTTAAAATTGTAAGTCAAAAATTTTAATTCTGTGGCAGAAACAAACAAACAAACAAAACTTTTTTTTGGAATTGCGAGAAAGGAAGTCAGAATTCTTAGTTTCTGTCTCAATTCTGAGAAAAAAATATATGCATATTTGTTTTGTTGAATCTTCCAACAAAAATAACTATATTAATTATCGTTATATAGACAATAAGTGCTGTCAATTGACAAAAATTTTTGCTAATAAACACGATTAATCCCACCTAACATTAAAGTTTTTAAATATACATTTCTATTGCAATAATTTCACATTCAATCTTCAAATGAATGTAGAAACAACATAAAGACAGTATATTTTTAATATTTGTTTAATGGCATCTTTTTTTTATGACTGAAGGCCAGTATCACTGATAGCAATATTACTGATGTCTCTAAGAAATTGTTCTTTTCTTTCCCTAATACTTAACCATTGACTATAGCCATTCAAAATTACAGTATAATTGAAAGCTATCAATTTTAACATTTATTAGACTTTAAAAAAAAAACAGCTTCTAATTTAAGTGAACTTAAAACAACCTTCACATCAACCCGCTATAATAAATGTCATATTTACCTGTGCCCTTCAGTAAGTAGGAAATATACAGAAATTGAATAAAGTTATCAAACACTAAATTCTCAATTAAATATAGATGAATCCTTAATGCGTTAAATATTTCTAACACTGTTAAAATGGACAAATGAATCGCCTGCGTTAACACGTTAATTTTGACAGCACTCATATTAATATAATAATAAAAAATAATTAAGTAATAGCGTCCATCCCATTTGTATACTAGTATTTAGGTAGTTAAGTGCTGGTTAAGTGGATAAATGTGACCGTTGTATAGTGTGTTGTGAAAAGAGTCAGGTAGAGGATGTTGTGTGGTTTAGTAGTTATCTAGTAGTTTTAGTTGTACAACCTAAAAGATTGTACTGTAGGTTCAAATCCCACAAAGTGTGATTCATTAACAGTGATCACCTTTGTGCTCCTCCCAGTGCACTTGTTCCTGTAAATGTACTGTAAATCATATTTAAGCGGCAATTAAATGACAAATTGGTATTCTACATTTTTACAGACGGTGCAGGCAAGACACATTCATATCCCTAAGCATCTGCAACATGCCATCAGGGCCTTGAGAGAAACCTGGAAACCGACAGCGTTGTTGCCTTGTTGTCATTCACTAAATGATTCGGTGTTCAAACAGCTGCTTCGGTGCAGTTACTATGTCCTGTGAACACAGACGCACTGGATCTGCTCCAAAACCTAGTGAGCTGCTTACGTAGACAGCAGTTACCAAACGGCTGTCTTCTAAGTTGGAGTGCTGTTTTCTGGGTTGCTGCCTATGAAGAGCGCCCTCATAAGTCTCCTTGACAGTAAAAATGAAGAAAGCTTTCTGTGTTTTGTGTGTGAGGTCATGATTGATAGTGTTGGGACTGTGAGTGACAGCCGGAGGGATTCTCTGCACACTGCATCACACATTACAACATTAGTATTAGGGCTGGGCGATATAGCTAAAAAAATTTATCAACTATATAATGTTTCATATCGTTCGGTATCGATGATTATTGACATTTTTTATAACCTTTTTTAAAACAAAGAGCAATATATATTTTTTTTTATTTAACCACTGTATTTTTAAATTGTAAATTGCACTGTAATTCATTGAGACAAAAAACAAATATTTTTTGTTTTAACAATCAAACACAAAATTAAAATTAAACCAATATCTAATTTCTAATGTTTTATATGCAGATTAAATAGGTTTTAAAGGGGTCATATGATGCGATTAAAATTTTAGCTTTCTCTTTGGAGTGTTACAAGCTCTTGGTGCATAAAGAAGATCTGTAAAGTTGCAAAGACTAAAGTCTCAAATCCAAAGAGATATTCTTTATAAAAGTTAAGAGTCAGCCACGCCTACCTAAAACGGCTCGTTCTAACACGCCCCCACATATCTACGTCACGATGTGGGAAGATTTGCATAACGCCGCCCAAATGTTCATGCAAAGAAAGAAGGCTTAACTTTTATTCTCGCTGTATTGTTGTTGCCGCCGCCGCCATGTCGTGAAGACACTGTGTGATTCGTTGTGAAAGCGAAACTACTTCTGTTACTGTTTGGTCTTCCAAAAGAGGACAATATCTGCTTCGTCATGCCTAGAGCTGATCCCAATATGGCAAGGGGCGTAACATTTCCATCTCACGCTTGAGGTATTCGGCCAATCACAACGCACTGGATAGCTGGCCAATCACAGCACACCTCGCTTTTTCAGACCGATGAGCTTTGTAAAAATCGATGCGTTTCAGAAAGGCGGGGCATAGAGGAGAAACAATAATGTACAGCATGTGGAAAATAATGTGTTTTTTTAACCTTAAACCGCATAAACACATTTCATTACACCAAATACACAAAATAATGTTCTTTTTAGCAACATCATATGACTCCTTTAAGGAAACTTTTGACTTGTCTCCCGAGGCCACAGGAGGGCACACTCAAGGAAATAACTGTCTATCAAAACTGTGCATTATTAAGTTGTCTAGAAAACTGTCTGTAAAAACTGTGCATTAAATTAACTAATAAAATTCAAATATAATTTTGTAAATGGCATAAACAATTATGAACAAAACAGCATCATGTATTTATGCATTGCTTAATCCAAAGAGCCGAAGCGCCAGCCACACAGATTGCATTTAAAAACATATGAGATGCAGTGAAAAAGAATAAACTTCCACAAATTCGTGACGTGTTTTCTGTTTTAACTTTGCATGGCTTTCTATACATCTCTTGTGTGAGACGCGAGTGCAGCAGTCATATTTGTCTGAATATGCGTTCTGTGTGAATGGCTTGTTTCAGTTTTAACCTAATCAAGATCTTCTCCGCATTGAGTTTCTATACTTCTCTAATATTTTGAATGAATAACGCAGCAGCGGCGCGTCTCGTGGGCTAGACTAACAAAACATTAAAATGCAACACGGTCACTTACATCATCATCACTGCATCTGCGCACCACTGATGATGCTCCCTGACGCACACCTAACATTCAAATGCAAATGTTTATTTTAAAATTCGACTAATATTCATTCTTTATTCACAATCTCCTCATCACAGGCAGGCACAGCACTCAATTCAGCATGTGTTCGTGTTTGTGTGTGCTGTCTGCGTCACTCATAGGACGTGCCTATATCGTGTGCCATATCGAACATTTTTTCTATCGTTATCGAAGAAGGTGTACCGTCGATAAATATCGATACCGTTTTATCGCCCAGGCCTAATTAGTATTAATATTGATTATCGTTTCTCTTTATTTGGCATATTGTTCATGTTAGGTTAGGGTGTAGACACTGGCCCTTGCTTCTTGTTGTTTGTTCTGATGTGCTGTCGGTGGCTGGTTGTTCTTCGTGTCTCTCTTGAAGCTCAGAATAGCGTTTCTCTTTGGTGAGGAGCAGCAGAAGTACAAAAGGACTGCGCTGTCTCTTGTGTAATACAGCAAGGCGTACAGTACATGGGGTGCAAAAGTCTGGGAAGCTATTTTGCCATATTGTAAAATGGTATAAGTTGGATTTAAAAATGAAGGTGAATGTCTTTGGGTTGTGTCTCTTCTGCTTTAATTAAAGCTGTACTGGAGCTTCAGCATGCTCTGTTTCAAAGAGCATCTTGAGCTTCGATGGAAGAATGTAGGACTATCTGTAAGAAGTTTCCACCAATTTCAAATCAACTTTAAAAAACGTTTTATCAAACTTGGTCTTTGTTCAGTTGCTGCTTTCTTTCTTTTTTTAAGTTTAATTAAATTGGCTGTACAAGTCATTTCAACTTTCAAATTATATTAAACTGACTTAAAGATAGAGTTGAATTTCATATAACTCATATAAAGAGTTTGGTTAAAGTAATGGAAAAACATGTGTTGCCATGACTTTATTGATCATTCTTATTGATTTGTTTTACAGTGTATGAAGAGTCATGGCTCTCATTTACCTGAGAGGGACCTAGAAATAGTGTAGAATATGAAATATTTGTTTTGTGAGAAATTTTCAGAAATCAAAATCTTTATTTCTGTTTAAATGCTACAACAACTCTTACATAATTGATGTGGACCCCCATATATTGTATTTGTTTATGCATTGCTTTTGGTGCTATTCAAGAGAATTTGTATTCTGTCATCATTAATATATTTGAATATTTCGTAATAAATCCAACAAAATATTGTGTACTCGGAGCCAATAATTTATTGTCATTTTTATGTTCTCATTATAATTTTATAAATATTGTTATATTATATATTCTTATTCAATGCATAACTGCAAGTTACATTTATAATGGAATATTTTATATTTTATTTTGATTTAGCTTTATTTTAAGGTGTCCTTGTTACAGTGTAATTATACATTTAGGTATTATTTAATAAATAGTATTATTTAGTAATAT